TGGAAATTAAGGAACCTTGTGAATTTATTCCACTTCCAAGTTTTTCCCAATTTCCTGCCAATCTCACATGATTTTCCCTGGCCATGCCCAATTTTGCCGCCCCTCCCTCCACCCAGTTCAAGAGATAAAAATGGTAATTTTTTTATCACCGCCCTCATTTAAAACTCTGCTGCAATTATTGGTGCGGAAAATCGTCCCAAATCAGGAATCTCTGCCAACTTTGGCATTTGAGAGTTTATTTGCTGATCCAGGGGTGGATAAAAGAGATAAAAGTTGTTATTTTTTATCACCGCCCTCATTTAAAGCTCTGCCACAATTATTGACTCAGAAAATCGCCCCAAATCAGGAATCTCTGCAAACTTTGGCATGGTGTGAGTTTATTTGCTGATCCAGGGGTGGTCTGGGCCTGCCCAGCACATGATGAGATTTGGAAATCACTCATTCCACAGCCCCAAAATGATGAATTTGTGTCACTGTGAAATGCAGAGGGAAAATTAGCTTTGGTGAGGCAGGGCCGACCTGTTGGGACTTGAACTGCTCAGAGCCGGGAGGACAAAMCCAGAGGGGATTTCAGGAAATGTTTGGACACTGAAATCACCCAGGAAGGGCAAATCTTCCAAAATCCAGGACGTGAAAAYCTCTGGTGTCGGGTTCTGCAATGGAGACAAAACAGGGGAGCACAAAGCTGTGTGAGAACCCCAAAGAATCYCCTGACCAGGCAGAAATTGGGTTTTTATGAATGTAAAACTGTCTTTTCCTCATTCTCCACCTGTTTTTCCTCAGGGAGCAGCAGCGGGAAGTTCTCGGGAGCGGAGGAATACGAGATCGTTTATCCGCGGAAGCTGCACTCGGTGCGCAGGAGGGATGCGGGAACCACCTCCGAGGTAGGGAAAGAAAACATTCCCGAGCTAATTCCTGGAAATTCCTGGGCTGAAAACACCCTTGGATTTCAATGGTGACAGGATTTGGATGAACATTTATTGTTCCAAAAGAAAAATCCTGGAGRAACAATTTATTTTTTGGTAAAGAGGAGCTGTTTGTGCTCTGTGTGAAGAGAATTCCTCAGGCCGTTCTTGGCTTTTCGGGATTTAAGATCTGGGCTTTGATACTAATCAGGTTTTTAATCACCTGGGGCCACTTTAACTGGGATTAAATCAAATGGGATTTCAGATCTGGGCTTTGATACTACTCAGGTTTTTAATCACCTGTGGCCACTTTAATTGGGATTAAATCAAACCAATAACTAAAAGCAATCATAATCTGGCATTAAGGAAGTGTTTGAGCCTAAACATCCCCTTCAGCAGTTTCCCAAACCTCCGGATTTGTGTTTTACGGTGGTAAAAACCAATTTGAAACACAAATTTCTTCCTCTAATTAAAAACCCCTCGAACACAGCGACCTCCTGCTTATCCTGCTGCTGCCAGAATTCTTGTTTTTGGTGGGAAGAGGAGGAAAAAAAATGCTGTTGGCTCTCCAATAACACCGTTGGTGAGGCCAGGAGCTGCAGCTCTGAAATTTATTTTTTTTTCCTGACTTTGTTTTTTCCTGACTCTGAAATTTATTTGCAGAGCAAATACGATGAGACGGTGAAGTACGGGATCCGAGCCAACGGGGAGGAAGTGGTGCTGCAGCTCCGAAAAAATCGGTGGGTTCAGCTCAGCTCTTGGCTT